GCTTTTTGAACTTGCAACGGTTGCAAATAAAGTCTACGCTCTGTCTACATGATGCAATCATAAACGAGTCATTCTACACATAAGCTGAACTGTTATTTAATTAAGCTTTTCGCTTGGGTCTTACGCATGTCGCATTTTCGACAGCTTGGCAGACGTCGCATCATTGGCCACTTTCCAATTCGAATCGGCTGTGGCTCTGTTTTATGACGACGCTTTGAAGTTATTTAACCGCATTCGGTCGCATCTTCGCGTGGCAACAGCAACTGGTTTTGGCCAAGCTAACATCCTTGCCTGCAGCGTTGGCTAAATCTTAATGAGCCGCACTCAGAGCTACAGAGCCAAGAGGCCAGCGGGAACACGCGCCACATTTCAAACTTGCCCAGGCCTTAACCGCGGCTGTAGCTTCCGCCAAATTTTCTGGCCATTTCGCGGTAAAAATTTCTCTCAAATTAGCGCCATTTGCGCATGCAAATTAGCTCAGCTCTTCTCTACGCACTATCCGCACAGCTGATTTCCGTTTTGCTTAGCCATTTCCTCTAAGCTCTGTCGTATTGACCAACATTTGAACAAATGTGCAACTAAAGTCTGCAAATTGCCCATGTGTGTATTTGCATGAACTTTTTGTTTACCTTGCTGAACTATTGGCCGCACTTCAACTGTTGGCCACGTCTGCGTCTGGGTGTTGCTTTACCTGCACTACCTTGCACTTTTAAGTCTATTTTAAAGTGTATTACCTATGGAAACGGAGTAAGTTATCGATTATCGGAAACAAACTCCATCTGCGCGGGAACTAGGAGCACCTACATCTAAAATTTCAAGTCTATAGCTCTTATATGTTCTGAGATCCTTGCGTTCATACATACGGATGGACGGACAGACGGACGGACAGACGGAAATGGCTAGATCGATGGATTATGCACAAATACAATATACCCTTATACACATTTTTAATAGGTTCAGGGTGTACAAATTATGTGAACTTGTCATGAATTGTTTTCAAATGCCACAAATGGAAAATAAAATCCAATTGCAAGCGACTACTCCTCTAATAAGATCAGATAATGCCTATGACCTCCAGTGCGTTACAAAATTGGTAACAAATCACGAATACCGCACGAGTTGAGTTTTTAGCAAGCGACGAGCTGTGAAGTTTTTGACTGCGCAGCTTTTTCGCTGTCGGCCCCCGGCAGGCAGAGGCAGTGAAAAGCGCGGCTGTGTGGCATGACAACTTGCCACATGGCCAAGAGACAACAGTTGGAGTCGGCACAGGCGCAGGCACAGTCACAGCCACATCATTTAGTGCATATTATTATTCGTATTTGCGGAACGTATTGTAAGGCGCAGCCTGCGCCCAAAGAAAACCAAATTTCGATCTCGAGCCATAGCACACTATACCATATACCATGCCGTGCCACGGCTTGCCATAGCTTACCATATAGCCTATGACTCGAAAACCTGCTTTCTTCGTCGTGACTTTTGATATTTGAGTGGAGTCGCATCGCCTTGTGCGCTTTTGAACCCGTTTGCACCCTTTTCGGTTTACCGCCTTATCGCATATGTATCGTATATGCGTTTCTCTGCTTGGCCTCAAAGAAACAAATTTTCAATTTGACTTTTGGCCAAAAAGTGCCTGGCAACCTGGCAGCCAACTAGGCAGGCTTTTGGCATTTTGTGCATTGAGCAAATTTTGATAGGGGCCCAAAGCCAGCAAGTGGCAAAGCCTGTCCAGAATCACCTGGTCGCAGCGCCAGCTGCACACGATTCCGAAATAAACTCCGGGCTGAACGTGAGCCACATTTTTGACTACTTTTTTTGAAAACTACTGGAAATTGAAAATGCCAGCTACCATGAGGACCCATTGGCTTTGGGTAATTTCTTAATGAAGTCTTGTGGTTGCTGTTTTGATACATTTTGAAGGAGCCAGCACATACCCTCACTGTGGCTATTATAGCTAACTAATGAAAAGTGTAAAACGTCATGTTAAACTACCCATTATTATTTATTTTATAACTAAGATTTTGTTCGAAATGAAATTCAAATGAGCTGCGAATATATTTTAGTCTACAATACATAACAATATAAAAAGCTGTTTAAGAGATATGACATTTTTTATACCCTGTACCAATGGAAAAAGTAATTTTTAAATTGAATTTCCTTGCATTATTTTTGATTTTCAGACCCATTTTTGTGTGCAAGTCTCTAAACACAAAATATTATAAATATCTTTTGGTAGAAATAGCTTAATATTATTTATTTTTTTGGGATATCTTTTTCAGTTTCATAAAAATTTTGAAAAATATAATATAATCATCTTAAATACCAGCATTTAAGTGCCGTAAAAATGTAAATGTTCGCAAGAAATTTTCGGGAATAAACTTGTTGTGATTATGATTTGCAAATATGTTAATGGCAATTCGTAGCTGGGCTTGGATTAAAAAAACGTCTCAATCCGCAATTCAGCGAAATGTTGTAAGACTTTAATTGATCTTCGCTAATTTTACAACATAGTTTATGCCACTTGGCACACCTTTTATCAACAACTCATAACTACTGTTTGGGTGGGGTGTTCCCCCTGTCTGATAGACACGTGTCTCAACTCAACTGTGAGATTTGAGGGATTCGTGTCTCTATTATGACATGCGCCTGTCAAAATGCCTCAGTCAATCCCTCAGTCAAATATGCAGCCAATCGGCTTTTATATTTATTAGTGGCAAATTAAATGAACGATCAACTTGGAGATGTCTATATAAATAGCACAAAATAATTGAGAAATTTGTTAAAAAATATGATATGCTGGTTCATATTCGATCGGTTAAAAAAAAGAGGCAAAATAATCGTTGGTAAGACAAAGGCCTTTGTGTGCGGCGCGTATAAAATAAACATGTCAATAAGAGCAGCAGGCAATAATTTGAAATGCAAATATAGAAATGAAATAGCAAGGGATTCATTGGTCCAATCGTTTAAGGTGTGAAATATAGATGGCACTGCTGAGAGAGGAGGGGGAAGCACACACACAACACACACGCACAACATTTGCCAACGCATTTTGGTCTCATTTGCATTTTCGCTTTGGATTTGGGGCTTAAGTTTGGAGGTCATCGTCATCATCTTCTTCGCATAGACATATCTGATACGGATCTTCAGTTATGGATTGGTAGCTATCGCATGTTTCGGGCTAGCTTTTAGTTTCATACGGTTACGTCCATTCCAGATTATACGAAATGGGTTTTTAAATAAGCTAAATCAATCATTTGGCAGCCGGTTAATTGTGCGCCACGCTGTGGTCACACCCGCAAAAGGCAGCTTCAGTTTGACTTTTGATACCCCCACATTGTCTTCTTGTTAGGCTACTGACATGCTGGGCATTAATAGGCAGCGCCGCTTTGTTCCATCATATCATTCCATTCCATCAGGCCTAGACATTTGTCTTCAGTACACTGTCATTTCTCAAAGAGGCCTCGGCTCGCTTTGATTTCTTTTTACTCAAAGTGATGCCGGAGAAACTTGCTCTTTGATTAAACATCTGTGATTGATACAGTAATGCAATATATATGTACGATAAGTCAATATGCGGATTTCCAAGCCCTGCAATTAAATTGTAGCTGCTGAAACTGACACTTTCATTTGAGATACATGAAAAGTATCAATAAAGCCTTTGAGATATCTTAAACATTTCTTCCCCCAATCCTTCATTACAGATTTCAATTTAGCATAACTGTGATACAGCTGAACTTATATTAATTGTGGTCATGGCTTGGCCTCTAGATTAATTTTGCACTTAAATTAGACTCAAATAAATAAATTAGGCTTTAGGAAAAAATTTTCATTTAAAGCTACTTGAGACATAGCATAAATGTTTGAAGTCTTTGGATCAGGATTATAAAATATCATTCAAAAATCAAGTTTTAATGATGATGACTATTAAGTGATATTAAAGAAAGCACATTATAGCCAATCAATTTGGGATGATTGTGCAATAAAAACATTCAATTTCAGCTAATCGCATGGACGGACGGTTATATTTTTAATAACTATGCAATAAATGAATATACCTCTTTCTGTTTGGGCGCGGAGTATAACAATTATGCTTTATTTTTTCAAATAACTGCCGACTAAATTAAATTAGAATAAGCTATGAATAGTTATGTAAGATAACTTTCTACGCAGACTACTTAATTAGAATTTCGTTATGGTTTTATATTTATTTCACACCAATAAAACACGCAATCAATAATGATGTGATTTTGCGGGCAACACTCATAAACAACAAAATGCCAAGTGGAAACCATTAATTATGAATGTGTTTGGGGCCAGTTAGCCCAGCCCAGCCCAGCCCTGCCCCGAAACTGACCTGTTTGATTTTTATGTAACAAAGTGTCGATACAACTAATAATATCATAAATCTTGTCCAATAATTTCTTTTTTTAATTTCTTGTGTTGCATCAACTCTGCGCACTTTGCTTTACATATTTCAAAAAACAAAACTTCAAAAAACCAAAAATAAAAAATTAATTTGGTTAAGTTGTGCGCTTTGCTGTTCCTCAGGTGATTAGCTCTCCCGTGCACACCCACAGCACAGCATCCAATTGCTGACGCCGGAGGCGCTACAGAACGCCCACCTGCGCTGACTGCGTGTGAAAACTTGAAGACCCAAAAAAACAAAAGCTTTCAGCTTTAGTTTACGTTTCCTTCATATACACCTATATATATAAATACAGCAATATATTTATGTTAAGCCGATCTATTGTTGTGCTAGCTCATCATTTGTCAAACGAGTCGCAACTAATGGACAAGGTTGCTCGGCTCAGACTTGGCTGACAGTTTATTTTCAACACATATTAATATGGTTTGACTTTATTTGCTTTGAAAATACAATATGAAAACTGTCTACGCGCACACACACAAATACACAAGCTCATAAATATATATGTATATATATATATATATACATATATATATATATATATATATATATAAAATTCATAGAAATCTTTGCGCTACATTATTTAAAATAATTTCTGTCTGTTACAGAATATAATTTATATTTAAAACTAAAAACACATTAACGACTGCGACAGTTTAACGCTTACTTCCATTATGTCCATTGGGCTTAAAGCTGACTGTTGGCCAGATGATTATCGATTACCACCTGAATAATCCGCATGCAATCCCGCTGCCTGGCTATGGTATTATCAATTAGCTGTTCTATAAACTGACTGGCTTTAATGTTCGTGTTCGGCGGTATGTCCTGCGTGCAGCTGATGTATTTGTTGAAGATTTCCGTGTTCAAGGATGTAGCCAAATATATTTCGCTCTCGTCCTGCTGCAGCAGCTTGTTCAGCACCTGGGCGGCGGCCAGCAGTTGGTCCTTGTTCTTCTGATAGGCGCGCAGTTCCTGTAAATTGCCATAATCCACGCTATTCAGCTGCACATACCTGTCGCCTTCGCCGTCGCCTCCGCCACCATCGTCAAGCTTGATTGCCTTTTTTGTGAGCAGCTGACGTATGTAATATTTACGTTCCGTCACGAAATTGCCGAGCAAATAGCCTGCGAACCAAACAAACGATTCATTAGCATGTCCCACAGCATATTCCCCACAACCCCCTCGGCTTTGCACACCTGAGATGAGCATGAAGAAGCCAATGGTGAGCAGAAGTGAGGCGCAGGTGCGTTTTGTCACATATTCGCGATATTCGCGCGAGCTGCTGTTGGCCCTCACAGCCGTCTCATAGCTGAGCACCTGATGCATTCTGAGCTTCTTAGTTGCGCCTGGCTTATCAGATTTCTATGGTCTTCTTTCGTATTTAGTTGCGAGACACTTTTTGAATTTATTGAGCTAGTTTATGGCATCGCTTGTTGTGGAACATTTTGTTGTATGGATTGTACTCTATTTTAAGTCAAAGTTCAGCTTGGCATCTATCATAGACAACAAAAAATATTTTTATAGGGCATATTTATTTATAATACAGCTCGTATAACACAAACAAAATCTGACATTTATAAGTTCATAAATATTTACGATACATTTATATAATTATTATAACGCTAAATATCTCTGCTTTTACGATAATGCAAAATTAATGCTTGATATGGTAAATGCACATCCATTAGTCAAGACCGCAGTCAGAGTAAAAGCAATTTATTTTAAATTTACATATTTCGGGTTTGGCTGTCCCAAAGGCATATTCATTGAATCTCCCATCGTTTTAGTTATTAATATAAATTCTTGCAAAATACAAAATGAAAAATTGTTCAGTCGCATACTTCACAGCCGTAAAATGAAATTCCAATCGCTCGATAGAAATTTAGTTGAATAAATGCGGAAAATCGCAATGTTAGTTGCGTTAGGGGCACCCACGCAATCGCGAATATTTGCAAACAACAAGTAAGAGGTGGATCAGACAATAAATAACAACACGTATTTTTTTTTAACTTATGGAGAAAAAAGAGATTTTCCTATGTGTTTGTATACGTTCGTGTAACAAGGTAAATTTGTGGATAGCCTGGCGTATACGTAACTATTGAAATAATATCTTGAAAAGGAGCATTTTCCTAAAAGATAAATTTTAGAAATATACTTCGCTTGTAAATAACCTTATTTATTATTTTTTACAATAATAACATTTTTTAGAAAACAGAAGAAATAATAGAATCTGTTTCTCTGAAAGGACAGTCAATGAACTCTGCCAGGGAAAAACAAAAACATATTTACAGCATAATATGCACATTGGCGTATCCTTTGAGCTGCAATCGGCCAGAGGCACTTTCACTCACCCAGCTTTGGAAACAAACAGGACTCCTCGCCTCCGTTCCGAATCTGTAAGCTGAAATTGTTGCCACTGAAATGTTTTATATTTTTTTTCTGTTTGTACTTTATAGCTCGATGCTCCCCTAGATATAAAGTGTGTATGCTTATATACAGAGTTGTGTAATGTTGTTTACACTTCAGTAACGACAAAAAAACAGAATAGAAAACTAGAAATTATATATATGTTTATCCGGCAACAGTTTACCGGCGCGCGTTATCCTTGCGGTGTGGTAGGTCCGTTCGCCTGGCCACCAAGTTGTGCACTGAGCGCCTGCCACAGACTGACGTCGGCTTTAATAGCCGGGCGACAATTGGTGGTGAATTTCCCTCGTGCTGTTCCTGTATGTGGGTGGCCAATGGGCGTGCATTTTCTTTCCTTTCTGTTCCCTTATTTCTTCGTTTAGGTCAAGTTGAGATGCGGCTATTTACGTGCAAGTTCTTCATGCGAAGGAAGAATGGCAACAATAAATTCATGATTAACGGGCATTTTAACTTTAACCGGAGCCGCTTTGAAGTCGTATTGTTTTTCAAACAGCTCGATAGAGTCTACATTAGTTTTACACGTACTTTCGTAGTGTTAATCTCGTTGTTTGTTCTCTTTAAAAAACTGAACACCTGGGTCTATTGTTCCATACACATGCACCTTCTTCAAGAATATCACATGCAACTTGACCGCAATGCAAAATGTTTGAGGGTGAAAGGGGTATTGATTTACGGTTTTTGCTTTGATGTTATTTGCATGCCGCTTATTCCAGGTTCGTAAAGCATCTGAGCGTACTAAAAAACCAAGTTAATTGTATGTAAAGAACTTACTAAGCTTAATCTATTTTTTAATTGTAAAATTCGCATATATATTGCTAAATTGGACTATATTTATTTGTTTCTGCATAAAAGCCATATTAAATTTCCTTACTGCAAGGTTGACTCCTTGGTATAAAAGAATATTTGTTTAACTACATTATTTTTGGAAAAATATTTTAAACAAATTTAAATTTCCAGCATTTTTCTAGAATAAGTTTTTGGCATATTATAGTAACTGGCGAAGTTAACGTAAGCAACAATATCAGCAAACCAATAATCGAGAAGAGTTTTCATTTTCTAGAATACTTTTTTATTGAGTATTTCTAAGTTATAATCCGAATACAATTCCTATTTGATTTAAAAGCACACTCGAACACAGCTGTTCTGGAATTGTTGTATCTCAAGTATTCCTGTTTTAATTGTGGTCTCTTCTATTTAAGTCAGTCGCTTTGGTCTTTTGCTAAAAGGTACAAGTTCACCTAAGTTGACAATGCATATTTATTTCATTTTTATTTTATTTCAAATATTTACCTGCATCTTCTGCAGAAAAAAATGAAATTTGTCAAGCAAAAGTTCACCCCGCTTCCAAAGTTGTAAGCATACTGTAATTGTTGTTGTTGTTGCTGTTGCTTTTGGCTCTAAAGTCAGTGAAAGTGCAACTTGTGCTAACAAGCAGCAAAACGTCCTCTGGTTCTGAAGGGCTGAAAGATACATTTCGCTCGTTTAGAAGTGCCTGCTGAAGCGAAAGCCTTGCTGTCAACGCGCAGGAGAAGCCATCTAGCAGGGGGTGGCGTGTGTGTGCTCGTGGTCTTCTGGAGGCCAATGTTTCATTAAGTGTAACGGCTTTTACCACGCTCTATGCGCACTGCACACGCAAATGGCCACCTAAGGGGAAACTGGATACAAGTGAGGACTACTTGTATAAGAGTTAAGCATTTTCAAGCGCTCGCGTTATATTTTCAAGGCACAGCAGCAGTGGGAACTAGTTCATAGGAAAGTTTAATGATAATGACATGAACTTTTGGAATTAGTGCACTTTCAGAAGGTATTACTAGAATCGAACTATACCTTCTTTCTTGATTTTCTTGATACAATATAGTTAATCTATATTTGTAAGCAGTTCCTGTGTTTGTATAAATGATTGAGAATTCAATTCACACGTTGGTTACAATCACTAATACGACCTATTCACAATCCACTCATTCACATTCGCTACTTTAATTTCGAAATTCCATTTGCAGCACACAGAGAAATGTCAGCGAAGTGCATTGCACTCTGCAAGTTGCAATGCGCTACGTGCACCTTGCACTCTCCACAACTTAAACACGTACGACGCCATTTGTGCTTGCCACCCACTGTGGCAACCTGTGCCAGGTCCATGTCAAAGGAGCTTCTCTCCCGCGGATTTTCGAGCACTCGCACATCCCATTGCCAGGCAGCGCATTAATTTACAAGTGCATTGACATAGAAACACGCACTGAGAACGCACAAAAGTAGGCAGCGCGAAATGCAGTCAAGTATTTGCCCCATACAACCGGAGAGACAGTTGTTGCTTTTGTATGCGGTATCCGTCAGTGATATGTCATCTATTTAAAAAATTTATCAAAACTTTTATTAATTAACTTTTTCAATTGGAATATACCAAATATTATTTTATTTAAAGGTTTCTTATGAATGCAACTTGTTGCTGCGCTTATTTATAGTTAACTCAACTTAATTATTGCTATGCCAATTTCTCTTGGAAATGTATTTTATGGCAATCTTAAGAATGTTCATATTACTTTACAACTCTCTCTCCCTTTCTCTCTTTGTTAAGAGCAAAGTTTGAAGCTTTTAAGTTTCATGCTTATAAATATGCTTTAAAGTGTAATAAAAGCTTTGTATGAAGCTTTTGCATAGCTAACTGTTATACATAAAGGTAGCAAAGTCACATACATTTGCAGCTTCACAGGTGTGGTAGACTAAGCGTATAAATCTATTTAATTACACACCTAATTCTGTTTCCAATTTTCGATTCTAGCAAAAAAAAATTTTGTGGTCACTTACCCAATCTTATATTTATAAGAGAAGTCTATTCTTATTATAAATGCCTAAAAAGTAAACTTACAAATTGTAATAAATTATTTTCCGATTAATGAAGTTAAAAATTGAGTCCCTAAGAATATTCAGAAATATTTCACTTAAAATCAGCTTAAAAGATATCAATGCCTTTATCATAAATAAAAGTATTAAATAGAATAACATGTTTATTTTATCTTGTGTAATTATTTTTGTCCGTGAAGTCTTAAAACAATCTATTCAATTGTTGTTTTAGATTTTTGTTTAATATTTAAATGTATATTACTTATATATAAATGATCAATTTAGGGCCCGGTAGACTTTAATATAAAAAGACAATGAAATCATATAATCGTTAATTAAACTGAAACATGTTTTTGTTCCCTAAGTTATTTTTGTTATCATCGATTACCAGATTGTATATGTAACTGCCTGGGCATAACACATTTTAGTAAACGAGTGCTGCCCTGCCCGTTTTCTAGGGCTTCTCAAATCGAAAATCGAACATAATTTATGTCTCACATTCTGCATTTGTTTCCTTGCATTTTTCACGTGCGTCGCTTCTTAGCCCGTTGAGGTGGGAGCAAATGCAAAATGTTCGGAATGTTTTTTCATTTTTTTCTCTGCTTTAGCAATCAGAGAGCTGAAGTCAATTGGCGATTATCATAGGGCCCTGAGGGGGCCCATTGACTTGTTTTGCATACACATTGACCGAGTTTTAGCCCAACGCTAATGTAATTAGCGGCATATACCACGCTGTACTGGCCCATTGCGGGCAGTCCAACGCGGCTAATTGGAGGCACAACATCGTGCAGCACAAAGGGATACGTCCGAGGCCCCTCATAAATAAAAAGGATTAAGCCAGGATAGTTCGTTTTGTGTTAACTGAAAATGTGAAGTGTTTGGCAACTCTGCTTGTTTTGATTGAATTCGATATTGTGTTAACAAAGGCCGCGCCATGACGGAAACAGATGCCGAAAAGGCGGCTGGCTCCCGCCTGGATTACGATCTGATGATGGCCGAGGAGTATATACTCAGCGATGTGGAAAAGAACTTCATTCTGGCCTGCGAGCGTGGTGATTTACCAGGTGTCAAAAAGTTAGTATTTCTCTGTGTTGTCCTGGCAGCCTAATAGCAACACATGTGCTTCGTAGAATTCTTGAGGAATATGCCCAAACACCATCCGATAAGTTTAACATCAACTGCACGGACCCCATGAATCGCTCCGCACTGATTTCAGCCATTGAGAATGAGAATTTTGATCTAATGGTAATATTGCTTGAGAATAATATTGAGGTGGGCGATGCTCTTTTGCATGCCATATCCGAGGAGTATGTGGAGGCTGTCGAAGAGCTCCTGCAGTGGGAGGAGAGCAATCACAAGGAGGGACAACCCTATGTGAGTAATGCGTCCACACTCTGATCAGCCATAACTTAGTGCTTCCTTCGGAACAGAGCTGGGAATCGGTGGATCGCTCCAAATCTACATTCACTACGGACATAACGCCGCTGATTCTGGCTGCACATCGCAACAATTACGAGATACTCAAGATCCTGTTGGATCGCGGTGCAACGCTGCCTATGCCTCACGATGTCAAGTGAGTGGACAGCACATTGCAATTGGGGCTTCATATAAAATATCTGCTTTTGTAGGTGCGGCTGTGATGAGTGCGTGACCTCGCAGACCTCCGACTCCCTGCGTCACTCACAGTCGCGTATAAATGCTTATCGTGCCCTCTCGGCTAGCTCGCTGATAGCTTTGAGCTCACGTGATCCTGTGCTCACCGCGTTTCAATTGTCCTGGGAACTGAAGCGGTTGCAAGCCATGGAATCGGAGTTTCGTGCGGAATATACGGTAGGACTGAATGACTGACTAATTGATTGTATGATTGACCCAGTAAATTGTACACAAAAAGCGTAAAAATTTTTAAAAATGTTTCATATAAACTAATATACATGCCTTTTGCTCGGATCAGGAAATGCGTCAAGCGGTGCAGGACTTTGTGACGGCACTTCTGGACCACGCACGCACTTCCATGGAGCTGGAGGTGATGCTTAATTTTAATCACGAACCATCGCAAGCAATTTGGGGTCCTGGCCAGCGGCAGACTCTGGATCGCCTGAAACTGGCGATACGGTACAAGCAAAAGACGGTAAGGATATCGCTAATGTCCTTTAAATTACTTATACCACTTAATAATTATATTTTCGACAGTTTGTGGCACATCCTAATGTCCAACAATTGCTAGCAGCCATTTGGTATGAGGGCTTACCTGGTTTTCGACGTAAACAAGCCTCCCAGCAGCTCATGGAAGTAATCAAGCTGGGCTGTAGTTTTCCTATCTATAGCTTGAAGTATATCCTGGCGCCGGACTCGGAGGGTGCCAAATTCATGCGCAAGCCGTTCGTTAAGTTCATCACACACTCCTGCTCCTACATGTTTTTCTTGAGTGAGTTACGGATATATCCATGGCTTATCAGCTGCTTTCCTAAACATTTTTTGTCTTTAGTGCTTTTGGGCGCTGCTTCGTTGCGCGTGGTGCAAATTACTTTCGAGCTGTTGGCTTTTCCCTGGATGTTGACCATGTTGGAGGATTGGCGGAAACACGAACGCGGCTCGCTGCCTGGACCTATTGAACTGGCTATTATCATGTATATAGCGGCGCTTATTCTCGAGGAGCTCAAGAGTCTTTATTCCGATGGCTTATTTGAGTATATCATGGATCTGTGGAACATTGTGGATTATATATCGAATATGTTTTATGTCACTTGGATACTTTGTAGAGCTACCGCTTGGATCATAGTGCATGTAAGCTGAGGCTACGAAACAGAAAATGGATATATTTACAATATCTTGTCGATTAAAAATCGATAATTTATCGAACCCGGTCGATATATTATCGATAAATTATTGATTACGCAGCGAATACTTGTCAATTATCTGGTGGTTAACCATTAATTTTTGTCGTGGTTTAATCGTTTTGTTTTTGACTATGTTTCGTTTTCATAAAAATAACATATTGATAACTTGTCGATTACTTCCTAAATGCTTATCAATTTACTGTCGACTATGAACAGAGTCTATATTACTTCTTTTCAGCGCGATTTGTGGTTCAGAGGCATTGATCCCTACTTTCCGCGTGAGCATTGGCATCCCTTTGATCCCATGTTGCTATCCGAGGGTGCCTTTGCTGCGGGCATGGTCTTCTCCTATTTGAAGCTGGTGCATATATTCTCGATTAATCCGCATTTGGGACCGCTGCAAGTGTCACTGGGCCGCATGATTATCGATATTATAAAATTTTTCTTTATCTATACCTTGGTTTTGTTTGCCTTTGGCTGTGGCTTAAACCAGCTGCTCTGGTACTATGCGGAACTGGAGAAGAACAAGTGTTATCACTTGCATCCTGATGTGGCGGACTTTGATGACCAGGAAAAGGCCTGCACCATCTGGCGGCGATTCTCCAAGTAAGTTCAAACAGGTAAAAAACCTGCTAGAGAAAGCACTGAGGAATATCAATTTGCAGTTTGTTTGAGACCTCGCAGTCGTTATTCTGGGCGTCCTTTGGTCTTGTGGATCTCGTTTCCTTTGATTTGGCTGGCATCAAGAGTTTCACACGCTTCTGGGCGCTGCTGATGTTCGGCTCATACTCGGTTATCAATATTATTGTGTTGCTCAACATGCTGATTGCCATGATGTCTAATTCGTATCAAATCATTTCGGAGCGTGCCGATACCGAGTGGAAGTTTGCCCGGTCTCAGCTGTGGATGAGCTACTTTGAGGATGGTGGCACCATACCACCGCCCTTTAATTTGTGCCCCAACATGAAAATGTTGCGCAAGACACTTGGACGCAAGCGACCTTCTCGCACCAAGAGCTTCATGGTAGGTGGCAACCCCGAAAACATTATGTGCTCCAGCCTAACCCTAGCCCATGGACTCCGCAATCAAGACAAATCCTTTGGCAAATAATTTTCAATAAAGCTCCTGTGGCTTTTGCTGCGTCAATGCAAATGCGCTTAGCACTTATGTTACTGACTCCCTCCCTCCCATCTCTCATCCCACATCCCATCACCTAGCGAAAGTCCATGGAGAAGGCGCAGACGCTGCATGACAAAGTGATGAAGCTGCTGGTGCGTCGCTATGTGACCGCTGAGCAGCGGCGTCGTGACGATTACGGCATCACCGAGGATGATATCATTGAGGTGCGGCAGGATATTAGTTCACTACGCTTTGAGCTCCTGGAGATTTTCACCAATAACAGCTGGGAAGTGCCGGACATTGAGAAAAAGACACAAGGTAATAGCACTGCCTTTGACACAACATGTTGCTAAGCCACCCACCACTCAATCCCAATCAATCTCCCATTCCCTGACAGCTGCCGCGCGCACCACCAAAGGCAAAGTAATGGAACGTCGCATTATGAAGGACTTCCAGATTGGCTTTGTGGAGAACCTGAAGCAGGAAATGGACGAGAGTGCGAACGGACTCGACATCTTCTCCTCACTGGCCAAGGTCATAGGCAGAAAGAAGACCCAAAAGGGGTAGGCACATTCGCTTCTTGATAGGTTTTAATGCTTAGCCAGTATTGCTTTTAATTCCCAGCGATAAGGACTGGAATGCCATTGCCAGAAAGAACACGTTTACTGCGAATCCCATTGGCTCCAAGCGCTTCTCCATGCAGCGTCACAGCCAGCGCAGCCTGAGGCGCAAGATAATTGAGCAGGCAAACGAGGGTCTACAGATGGATCAGAGCCAGTTGATAGGTGGGTAAAAGTAACAATTAAGCTGATTTGAAGCTGATGTCTCTCCTCATGCGCAGAATTCAATCCCAATCTGGGCGAAGTGACGCGTGCCACTCGCGTAGCCTATGTGAAGTTTATGCGAAAGAAGATGGCGGCTGATGAGGTTTCTGTGGGTGAAGCTGATGAAATCACTAAGGGCGATGATGAGAAGAAACCAGACGCAAATGGCGTAAGTAGAATCTACTCGGCAATCACAAATAGCTTGTAGTTTACTTAACGATGGACTTTCAGTCCAGAAAATCGGCAAGTAGCGCCGGCGGAGGTGCCTCCATCTTGGCAGCGGCCGCACGCGCATCCGTCAAGAATGTGGATGAGAAAGGCAACGGCGTGGACAACAAGGATAATAAAAAAGCAGATGACAAGAAACCCGCTAATGGCAAGAAACCTAATGGCGATAATAAGCCCGATGCTAAGCCCCAAGCACCTGCTGCTGGCGTAAAACCAGGCGAACAGAAGCCCGTGGTGCCAGCCACTAAGCCACCAACTGCTGCCAGTGGCGCTAAGCCCAATGAACAGCCGAAGTCTGGAAGCGATGCAGCCAAGCCCAATGCACCGGCACCACCAGCAAAGCCCGCTGATGTTAAGCCTGCGGCGCCTAAGCCAAATGAAACCGCAAAGCCGGAAGCGGTGGCCAAGAAGGAGGAAGCAACCAAAAGCGAAGCGGCAAAGCCAACAGCGCCTGCTGGAACAGCTACCAAAAGTGCAGCGCCTTCGGCGCCCGCGGATTCCACGCCGGACACCAATACAAAAGCTGCAGCGACAACCACTACGCCCAGCGGCACTAAGGCGGCCAATGAGACCAGCGGCGGAGCCACGCCGGCCGGCAAGTCCGATGATAAGAAAAACGGACAGGATCAGAAGGCCGATGACAAGAAGGAAAAGGATCCGAATGGCAAGCCGGGCGATTCGAAGCCCACAGCGGCAGCTGGAGACAAGCCGAGCGAAGACAAAAAACCCGACGCTAAGAAACCAGAGGACGATAAGAAACCCGCTCCGGCACCACTCAAGCCAGCCATGAAGGTGGGCCAAAGTAGCGCCGCGGCGGGCGGCGAACGCGGCAAATCCACCGTCACAGGCCGCATGATCTCCGGTTGGCTGTAGAAGCAAAGCCAAAAGATAATTTTTCAATAAAATTTTCGTTGATTTCCCTAGCCGAACTAAGTACTTAAAATGTGTGTGAACAAATAAACGAAATTTAAACTAAAAACAAAATATACCCTGGCCTCCATTTTCAGACTGAAAAGATTACAGACTTTTCATGTATACTCGTGTATAGAAGTGTTGAATTAAATGTTACGGTATTTGCCCACGCTCTTCTCGCAATGCCTAAGAACCGACCTCCTTAAAAAAAAAAAAAACGGCACGATGGCAATTTTACAAAAGTCGCAGCTTGAGAGCCTACTTTAAAATAATACCCCTACATTCCATTCAAGCTCTTTTTTAGCACAATTTTTAAACCTTTTGCGCCTTACCAACAAATTTCGCAATTGCCGGTTGCTCGCAAAGCCATGCATATCCCTCACAAACTTTTGCGTCAGCCATTGGCAACAAGTGTTCGGCTTAGCAACATTTCCCAGTCCACAGGTGGTTGGTTGCTAGAGACACACCCACACACACACAATAAGTTTACGAAAGTCGCAGCTATTGTTCCCACACGCCGCATTGCCTGCCTTGGGATATAAAAGGACGAGAGTTTCATGCAGCATCAAGCATTATATCTGTGAGCGTCAAGAAGTAAACATCAAGCGAACATCTAAGAGATATAATACATTTTAAATTTAAAGTTGAGAAATGAAGTCGTTTCTGGGACTACTCAATATTGCCTACACCATTTTATTGCTTGTCTTGCTGACCAAATTCAGTGCTGCAGGTGAGTCCAAGAATGGAAATGATTTAATACATTGAGTGACCAATTAATATAGCTCAACTCAAGCCTTGTCTAGCAGGGTGTTAATCCATGGGCAATAAATCTCTGCGCCGCTGCCAGGACTACTGAGACAGTCCTCAGGCCATTTCAATTTGTTTTCATTAAGGGCTAGGCTAGGCAGCAAGTGAGACTTCAGTACAATACATATAGAGTCGGGTGCAATTCATTAAAGTTTTATTTGAAGCACTTTTAAGTTTAGAGGAGCAATATTTATAAAAATCATAGCAACTATATGGTATATAAGGCGTATTTCTCAAACTGTTCTTACTTTTCTAATCAAAGTGGAGCATGATAAGATTCGTCGTGGTGCCAACATGGGTCTCTATACGTTTCCACGCGTCGGACGCAGCGATCCGAGCCTGGTGAACAGCCTGCACGATGACAACGACGCGGTTGCCTATGAGACCCTCTACGGATTTGGTGATGCCTCCGCTGAAGATTTTGAAGGTGCGTAAAAATTCAGTTGATTTGAATTTTTATGTAAATCTATTTAATCGCCTATAGAGTATCAAAAGCGCGCCAGTTTGGTTCCATTTCCTCGTGTGGGACGCAGCGATTCTGAACTGAGAAAATGGGCCCATTTGCTGGCACTACAGCAGGCACTGGACAAACGCACCGGACCCAGCGCCTCGTCTGGCATGTGGTTTGGACCACGTCTGGGCAAGCGTAGCATCAATGTCAAGGACTATCCGGCTGATACAAAAGGACAAAAGGAATTGTTCTAAATGATAAAGAAGGCAAAGGCACCCGAAGGAAACCACAAAACGCTCGAAAAGGCTTTCCAATATATTTATTATGAATCTACAAATTTTAGTACACTATTTACGACCACTTGAACCACTTGATTATAGCTTGAAAGAGATCAACATTGCAACGGAATAATATAATGGGTATATAATAAACAAGTAAATATAGCATATATAAATGGGCTGGTGAGGGCATACTATGTCGGTGTAAGTCTTTTAAATGTAATTTTTAAAAATCCCGAAACGCTTCACAAATGTAAATACACTATATTTGTTTATAAAGGCGATTTTAATAAAATAATAAACAAGTAAAATGACTTTAAGGGAATTCCCTGACATCGGCGGCAAGCTGCCGGCACAAAAATGCTTCCTTTCTTCTGTAGCTGCAGAAGGTTTTTTAGGTAAAAAGTAAAGCCACTTGCATTATTCCAAAAAGACATCACAACCATGCCGAACCTTCAGCTATAACAATTATCTTATTATTATTATTAAATTTGGCTTAAAAAGGGAGGTGATGTTCTGTCTTTTATATGCTATAGCCTAGATACCGAAGTTTATCGACATTTTGGAAATTGGATATTCAAATAAAATGAGAAAATAAAACGAGAAAATATATTTCGAATGTCAAGTCTCCCCATTTTGTAGTTTCATATAGACAAACGAAAAGCTTCCAATATCCAATATCAATCCAAGTAGAATATATTAAAATTAATATTGTATGGTAACTAATATTATTAGATTTCCAGAGTCAGTTGCACTAGCAATGAAACTCTGTATAATAAAATGTACTGGAATTCCCGACGTAATGGAGCGTAATATCTATGCAAACAAGGAATGCAGAACTTTGCACACATGACTACCATAGCAATCGCGGTTTTAATGTATTGGTCAGGAATACCGTAAATTTTGTGATATGGGTCAGTGCAGATCTCTGATTGCTCTTTACCAGAGTTGGCCAACTACTATTGCGGTAAGTTGTAATAGACACTTTTGGTATTTATCTTTTCTCTTTCCGATAACAAAATTTATATTCACAGTATAAAACAACCGACGGAAATGTTTTATTACTTTCTGCACTTAAATAAATCTAGCATAGCTTGATCACGTTTACACAAAAACAGTTTATGCTTCAAATGTTAGACATAAGTTCAGTTCCCGCTTTTGGAAAATTATAATCTAGCCGTAGTATCGAACTTCAAGTATTAAGTTAGATTTTATAGAAATATTTAAATTAACAATCAAAAAATAGAGTCAACTGTTTACTCATATGTAAGTCTTGTGGTTAGAATCTTGTTTATTGACATTTTGGACGCGCAGTTCCGACGTTTCATATAAATAAAAACAAATATACTTGATAATAATGAGTTTAAAAGTGGTCAGATAGTAATCAAAGAAGTTGAAAATTTTTCGGAAAAATTCCCATAGTTGAGGGTGGAATTTCAAAAATCACCGAAGCACGTGTTCAATAAGGTTTTATGTGGGCTTTGAAAGTAAGTTTTGAAGCCAGTCAGACAAAACTTAAACCTTCCTCATAAAAATCGTTGAATCTCATTTTACACCACAGATTGTAATTAATCATTTTTGCACCCTGTATTTTAAATTAGGAATATTCAAGTTTTGTGATATTTTATTGTAATGAAATAGAAAAGAGTTTACGTTTATCAGCGTATTACGTTATTAAATAAAACGAAGAGCACTCTCGTTATTCTTTATTGGTTCTGGTTTGTTTAATCCTTCTGCTGCTTGAACTTGCGCAGTTCGCTTTGAATGGCCTCGATAAGTGGCGCGGCCGAAGGCGCCGATGCCTTACGCTCACGTCCCGGCGTATTTGCTGTGGAGCTGGAGGTGATAAGTGCGCCCCGGGAAATCTCCAAAATAGTTTCGGGCCGCAGAAAGGGACCAGCGCTCAGTGGCCGCACCAGCGGTGAGTGGGAACCGTGCAGACTGCTGCCCCAAGCGCTGTAGGTGGGCGATGGCGGCTGCGTGGACTGGGCCGATTTTGGCGTCTTCTCCGGCTGTGCAGTGGCCGGCCGATCCGCAGTGTTATATGCTTTTGGGGGATTGCTGTAAGGGATAGATAAAACGCTGGGTATGCAGTTATCAAGTTTGAAGGCACCGACACATACCTGGGCAGGCCGGCGGAAGAGCCGCGATGCTCGCGTTTTGTGGTACGTCGCTTGTTGGTAAAATCACGCGAGGGCAGTGGCATGGGCAGATCATCCTGGCTGGCGTACATCTGCATGGCGCCCTCCAATAAACCCTCATAGTGGTTGCGTATGGCGGAAGCATCGTGCATGGGACTGGGGCTAAAGTCAGCATAGCTCCGGGCCTCTGCGGAAGATGTTTGGAGGAAGTTCAGTTGAGTTCAGTTGGGTTCAGTTGAATTGCAAGTGAACTTTTTTGTTTATATATATATATATATATTTTTGGGTTCTATGGTCTCTAACTGGGTTAACTAATTACAGTTGTGTGCAGGCAACAACAACAAGAATAACAACAACTAGGACTACAGTTGCCAGTTAGTAGCGTGTCTGTGCCCCAATTTGCACATCATGATCATCATCATCAACTTCATGATCAACATCATCACCATCATTGTGTCCACCCGCCTCACCCTGGTTGTCAGCGCTGCTGCTGAGACGTTTCTTGTGCCGCTCCCAGACGACGGGTCCCACACAACCCGGATCTGGATTATCACTGTGCGAAGCGGAACGCACATTCCGTACTGGAGGTGGAGCCTTCGGGCTGGGAAAACTGGCAATGGTCGCAATGGTGCTATCCCTGCTCCCAAGGGATTTGTGTGACTTCAGGGATCTGGTGGAGTTCTGTTGTGGCGGTGCTGCTCCGGATTGCGGTGCCACAGCATTCACATTGTCGTAATAGGTGACAAAAACGGGATCCAGCACGCGATTCAGTGGTTCGGGCAGTGTGCTCTTGGGAAAGGCGCGTACAGAGGCCATGGACAGAAAGGAACCCACACTGGCCGTATCTGAAGACTTCTCTGATGGTTGTACGCCGCGTGAACGTATCATCTCCCTGTTGATGGCTTGTGGGGAGCCGACGGTATCATCCTCCGGGTACTCCTTATCCGTAAAGATAGTTTGCTGTTGCAGCAGCTTATTGCGATGGTAATTGTTGTGCGGATTGTAAGCCTCATTGCGTTGAAAGTTCTCATAGCTGCGACGCGTGGCAGCCGGCGAGTTACCCTCCTCCGTGGAAGAGTTGCTTTGACCCAACGAGCCCTGAACCGGACTGGTTTCCAGCGACCCAACACGATTCTCATTTAGATAGCGACGCTTCGACTTGTGGCGCGACTTGTCGCCCTTCTTCTCCGATACCACCGAGGCATATATGGTATCCTCGAGTCCTCCCTCAGCACGATCATACTGATGCCGCCGTCGCTTGTGCCCGTCAAATAGGCGTGACGCCTTGTCGTCCAATATACGCTGCACATCGGCACTGGGCGGGTTAATGGGACAATAAACCGAAGAGTCGGAGGTATTATCCGTTGAGGAAATGGAATCACGCCGTGTACGCGTGTGTGCCTCAGCTGGCGGTGCCGGAAAACTGATGCGTGGCTCTCGCTCGTACGAAAAATTTTGCACGCCCACATCCCGAGTCCGTGTGGTGCTCTGATCACCGGGATTAGGAGCAGAGCCACCCGCAGCGCTGTCCAGCAAAGTACCACGCGAACTGGGTCGCATGGACTGACCCTCTGATAAAAGCTCGTTGCGCGAGGAGGTTCTGTGAAGTTGATAGGAGAACATTAGACTTTAATTAACGACTCCTTTGATTCTATGAACTTACCTATTTACCGCACTTAGCTCACGCTGGCGAGCACGTGTGCGTCCCAGCAACAGGATGGCCACCAATAGCAGCATCAAGAGCAGAATGGCCACAGAGCTAATGACCACCAGCACCACATTGTTCTTCACAGAGTTGAAAAAGCCTGCCTGTCCGCTACGTGGCACCGGCGCCAAGGCTGTAGCCGTGGGCTCCCTAATATAAGCTGTGAAACGGAAGAGTTTTCATAAAATGTGTAAGGCATCAAAAAGAATGCTTTATGAACTCATCATATGTAAATATATAGAGTGTGACTACGTCTTCTATTTAATCTACTCTCTCATTTACAATTCTTGAGATAGCTGGGATGGAATATTTGGAAATTGACCAATATATGATTTTTTCTCTCGGGCTCCATCACACGTTTATTTGTCGTGCTTTTGAGGAATCGCCCGATGCCATCGCTAAGCCTGATCAACTACTTTTGGCACTTTTATATAAGTGCCAATAGCTTTCCCATTGATAAGAGATACTTTAACAGATTGGATAGCGCTTCAAACATATGAAGTACATTTCATCAAAATCACACTTCTATTTGGAAGGGTATTTAGAATTCGACACGCCGAAGCTAACTGTTTTTTGGACTTACGTTCAGATTTCATATATATGGCCTTGCCCAGCGTGCTAGCTGCCTCCGCCTCGCTAACCAGTTCCATGTCCTTAGCAGCCGTGGTGGCCAAAACTGGTCGCCCATTCACAAGGACTGTATAGATGAGTTCCGTTTGATTGGCTACAGGTCGCTCATTGCTGCTGGGATTAGAGATGCAGGTAAGTATAAGTAGGTATAGTTAATTGGGCTGTTGGTCCTACAATTTAAGGTTAACATACGCATCGGAGTCAGCCACATTGCTAGCCGAGCTGTTCCACTTAAGCAGCTCCGATTCGCTGACTTGCGTGATGTTGTGTATAACAACCCGCACTCGGTCCTCCCTATAGAGTGACTGTTGTTGCCGTTGTTGTTGTTGCTGCTCCTCCTGCTGTTGTTGACTTAACAACGCCTCGCGCATTTCCTGCAACTTCTCCGACTTGCCATTCTGCTGTATTAACTCCCAGGGGATAAGCGTAACATATGCGCTGTAGTCCATGGACTCTGTCGCTATGGTTGCCACCGTGGAGCTGCTCAGCGGCGACTCACTTGACTCTGCTGAGTCAGCGACTGCCCATTCGGGCTCCGCACCCGCCGCCCACACAGTTTTGATTTGATGCGTTGTATCCACCTGCATATCGAATATTTCGACATCATCGCCCGGCCATGTGGTGGTCGTAGTGCTTATATCTGGCCCCGGCTGGCGGCGCTCACGTGATGATTCTATAGAAACGCCCGCAATTTGTTGTGCTCCATTTATGCCCAGGTGGCGTGTCTGCTGTCTGTATGTCAGCCCAGTTGGAAGTTACGGCAAATCTAAATGTAAACATTTCCATACTCACCTAGTAAAAGCCAACCGATATAGACGCGCCAGCTTCTCCTCCAGCATGGGGTTATCCCTGGACGTGTAGAAACCAGACATGACAGTCAGTAGCCAATAGCGACGATCCGTTGAGGAGTAATTCAGCGGCGGCATACCAGGTGCACCCAAATCCCAATTGCCGCCACCATCATCAGGCCTGCAGTCCAGACAAATCGGTATCTCGATTTCCTAAAAACAACAAACAGTTAAGTTAACTATAGATGTTAGTTATATCTGGATCAGACTAACATTGTTGCCATCCACGTAGACGGTGGCCACCACGGTTTCCGTCTTGACTATGACATCCTTGCCCTTGCTGATGCCTGTGTGCACCTTCTTCAGATAGTCGGGCGGCCCGTCGCCTGAGCCCGTCCAGAAGAAATCCTCCAAATGCACCTCATCCTTGATTTCCGGATAGTTATCATCTAAATCATCATCTGCATATATACATTTATTTTTAAGTTGTTTATTTGCGAACTGGTGGCTTGTTATTTGGTAGTTTCTTGAACTTTGAGAACGTTTCTATAGCAACTTACTGGCTTGCAAAAAAACTTTATAGACAGTTGTGAGCTAACTTACGAGAAGCAGGTAGGTGGATATATCATACGAACAGTTGTATTAAGGCTGTCCAGAGGGAGTTCAGATTATGCTATATAAGTGAGTGCTCATTTATTTCGAAAAGATTTTACTTTATGAAACATTTAGAGTTTGCATTTTACTCAATTAATAAATTAATTAGATATAAATATCAATTTCGAAAAATATTTATTACCAGTTAAATGATATACGATTAAATTGGCTTACAGTTCTTTTTTCAGCTATTAAATTTTACAATTGAAAATAGCCAATCGAATCAAAGAAAATCCTTCTTAATAAAAAAAAATATTAATTTCGCTTAGAAACCTGGCATTTATGCATCAGACGCGATTTATTGTAAATAAAAGACAGAGAATTTTACAAAAAATGTAAATCATATATGTATATTATAATATATTCTTCCAAACACTTCAATATAGTAAAAGAAGTAAGCATATAAGAATAGATATTAAGGACATGCAGACAACAAACACAACAGAGTATGTAAGCCATGTAGCACTCAGACAAATTCCCAGTTTGTCGTTCAATTTATCGACAAATCATTAAAACTGGTTACCTACCCAACGAAATCCACTTTGGGCTGAGTTGGAATGGTAGCCCATTCGCTACCATTATGTTTATGTATCTTATTTTAATGCCGCATTTCCAAGTTTGTTTGATCAATTGCAAGCAAATGCAACAGCAACAGTTGCTGCTCAAGTTATGCTACGTGCAACCAACCTCCACCACTAGCTCCTCTCCTAAGGCTGCTTGTATAGGCCTGGCTATGCTTTAAAGCAGGCCAGGCATAATTATGATGGTTTGGCCTCAATGATGATGACCGCGCACTAACAGCAACAATGCCCGGTTAGACAACAGTAATAAATTTATCGATTAGCACTTGCTGCGGGGGCATGCCACCGAAATTATTTGTGGCAGAGTTGACCGATTTGTGTGCGTGTCGGCGGCGCAATTAACTTTAACGCATATTTGTGCACCTGTTTGTGCAGCTGCTTGGGATTTGCCAGCAATTGTTTTTTTTTTTTATGCAATTACTCATAAATTATATTGATTGTCCTACATTTTGGCTAGCTGTCGATTTTTACGTGATTTTAGTGTTTTTTTTTTTTTTTTGGGCAATTTTTTTTGGGCACTGACGCATGAAGCCAAAGGTCATATTACTTGTGGCAGCAACACCAGCTACCAGCTACAGTTGAAGGGTCAGTTCAAGCCGCGACCACAGCCGAAAATATTTACACCCAAACATATTGCTGGACAATCTGAACAATACAAATAATTTCACTTTGGCTTGTTGCTCAACTTACCGTGACTTAATTGTATCAGAGCCTGTCCAACTGCCTCAACCCCGCGCCCCTTGCACTTGTTCAAAATGACCAGAAACAATAAAATTGACACACAACGCGTCAGTTTTGCTTTCATTTCCACTGTTTGGTTTTTTTTTTTTTTTATCCAAATAGTTAACAACTTTTACCACAATTGCACATTCTTTTAACTATTTTATTTATGAATATTTTTAAAACCATCTTTAGTATTCCAAATATTGCACCAAAAGCATTTCATATAAAATTTAGTTTATGCGTCGCGTTCTCGCATCGTTGACAGTTGTCCGGGAACTGAGCGTTACGTTCTAATCCAAACTTAGGGGCGCACTCTGGCTCTGCCCTGGTGGTTGTTTGTTTTGTTATTGTTGCTGGCGTTATGTGTGGTACAGGTACAGTGCGTACACTTAGCGAATTTTCGATTTTTAATTGATAGTACGCGTACAGTTACGAATAGTTTAGTTGTAAATAACACTACTATAATTTACAATTTATAATAACATTTTAGTTTAAGAAATTTTAAATCTTCATTGTTGTATATGATTGTTTTCATTCATATTGCTTTTCATACAACACATTCAAAATTCATTTTTTTTTTTTCATGTTTTGGTTTGTGGAACTTAAAGACATGTTATTTTATTTTCCGTAAATATCGTTTTATAAGAATATATATTTTTCAGAGAATATAGCACTTCATTTGAAATCTTTTTAATAAAGCAAAGTTGTAGGTAGATATACATACTTCTATGCTCAATATTATCAGTACATTTTTACAATGACACATTTAATTTTGCACAGTGTATCTTGCACCATTGTCGATTGTTTGTTTGGGTACTCACAGCTTGCGTCTCGCGGCTCTCTGTTTGGGCCGCTTTGTGTCTGGTCAGTTACCTGTGGCAACAATCCAACAAGCCAATTGCGCGCCAAGCCAAGTCGCAGCTAATAAACAATTCAGAGCTTTCAATTTTGAACGCTTTTTTTTAGCGATTTACACACAAAATGCCGCTTTTTTGGCATTATTCTAGCCTCATTGTTTTGTTTTTAAGCTTTTTTTCAACTCGATTTCAATTTATGACAAGTTTTGATCTCGTGTTGCCAAGCTCTATTGAAATAACGTACTACTTTTGAATACCCACAAGCTTTGCTGTTAACACAACAACGGCTCTAAGGAAAGCTGTTAATGCAGACACACAATTGCTCATTGCTATAAAACGCAGTAACAAGTCTTGGTCAGTTTTACAGCGACCAAAATTTGTAGACGTGAATTCCGGATTTAGGCTTAGCTAAAAAATCCCCGAAGCGGCTCAAGGTGAAGAGCCACGCGTTAAATATTAAATTCCAAACATGAAATTATGATTTTTAATGGTTCAAATTAATCACCATAATTAAATCAATTTAACACAAACCAAAGTTATGTCGAATTTTTGGATAATTAAATTAAGTTACGATTTACGAGCTCATTAAATCGATTATGAGGTTGGAAAGAGCTGAACTTACTTTTTAATGTATTTTTTTAAGAATATTAAAAATTTTATTTACTTAGATATTACTTACAATAATTATCTAAGAAGTGAGCAATGAGGAAGCTGTCGAGTAGCAAGTAATTTGCTTAGATTTCACCAAAGAATAGTTAAGTACTTTATGTATAAATCTACAACAATGTCTAATTTTATAAAATACTCATTATTTTCTCAACATTATTTATCGTGTCCATGACCTTAACTTAGCTTAACTTTTATGCTAAAACTTGTGATTACACTCTTGTCTCCTAATAGAATTTATTTAGACATGCTAATTAACAATTGAAAATGAACGTGAACGCTTAAAACTGCATTAGCTTCAATTCGATTCGTGTGCACAACTAATCTGTCATCTTGCAAAAAGGCTTGCCTCATAATTAGCGTGACTAATAATTAATAAAAGCTCTCATGATTCCCAAAGTTGTTAATTAGCATGAAAATTATGCATAGATCTGACGCCAGTAGAATCTGTCAATTCAGTAATGCCTGAAATGATTCATGGTCAAGTTAATGCTATATTTGAGGATTTCTGTTAAATGAACATCGAACTTTGTAAGCTGCAAGAATGTTAAAGGTCAAACTATATTACGCAATTATATAAATACACAAACTTGTCTATCCAGATGACCGCTTGATAATGAAACATCTAAACTTGATCTTGGCCAAAGACCATACTGAATTTACCACCAAGGTTTCAAACCAGTTTCGACATGCAAACATATTATCAGCAATAATAAATACATATATATTTTACTCTGTTATTATCACTTTGTTGTTTTTTTACTAAATATTCTAAAAATTACAATTTCTTAGCCTGCGGCAGATTTCAGTGCGCCGGGGCTCAGTTTGCGATTCTTGATCTGATAGCGAGTCTTGTAACCATCCTTATCGGCAGTATACATGGTAATAGTATCTGTATCTGTTTTCTCATCGTAGGTGGAGTAGGTACCCATAACAACCAGCTGCTCCTCGGGTGTGCCCGGATTCATAATAACACCAATTTCCTCGCGGGAACTACCATTAGGATCCTTCAAGCTGTTGATATAGAAGTTGGTCAGTTAGGTACTGAATGGAATTGAATCCGAATCGATGGACTTACTCAAAGCGGTAACCCTCCTTGGTGGGCACCTGGTTGTAATATTCCGTCATGATGGTGGGGAAAATATAGTCAAGGAAACCAGCAGAGCAGCTGGCTGCCATAACAGCCACCAAAGCAGTAACAAATATCTATAAGATACATTTATAAACAGAATAAAATATGCACTTGATAGAGTAATTATAGCTAATCGCTTGTCCAGTTCAACAGCACCTGCAGTCAGCCGCAGTAGCGCTTAACATTTTAATTGCAAGCATTCGAAACGGATTGTGAATAGTTTGAATGCCATTCAAATGCAAGTAGTCAGCATCAATCGGCAGTCAGCAATCTCCACCCTTGCCTTGGCTGGCGATGGCCTTTGGGCCTTTCGACTACTCACCAATTTCGCAGCTGTCATGTTGATGCGAGCTGAAGTTCCCAAACGAGACTGAGATGGAATTGTGCGGCGATCCAACACCAGAGATCTGCAAAGAATATTTAAGCGAGGCGTCGACGGCGTCCACCATATGATGCGCCGTATATGTAATAGTTTGCCTCTATTTTCTATTATTTATTTTTTGCTTTTTAATTCGCTGTTGCTACTATTAGCTCAAACCGGTCCCCCATACAGACGCAGCGCCAATGCTAGCCGGCATCTATGCAAACCCAACCAAAAGGTCTTACGTTTTGTTTTCTTTCGGTTCGGTCAGCGTGCCTACATTGTAGTTAAGCACATTAATTAATGATCAATGGGCTGACAACTTTAAGACGTGCCATTTACGTGGGTGGTATGACAAATAATGATCCCCAGCTGTCATCTTTGTGCAGGGGAATACCGTCAAAGAGTTGTTATCACAGACACAATTGCTAAATGCCAATAGCTGTCATAAATTTCGGCCTTAACAATACAACATTCACATTTTAATGCTCAAAATTCCGACACTTGTTCATCCCAAAATGTGTGTTGTTTTCAATCTCTTATAAATTAATTCGCCAGTTCCCAGCAAGTTTCAGCATTAATAATTGTATAATTTGCTATATTTTTGATTTCTGAATTCATTTCGCCCACTTCAAGATTTGGCATCCAATAATTGTAGACTTTAATGTATTTTTTTTTTATTTTTAAATTAATTTTAGCCAGCCAAAGATTTGAGATTTCCCCCGCTCAATTTACGATTCTTGATCTGATAGCGAGTCTTGTAACCATCCTTATCGGCAGTATACATGGTAATAGTATCTGTATCAGTTTTCTCATCGTAGGTGGAGTAGGTACCCATCACAACCAGCTGCTCCTCGGGTGTGCCCGGATTCATAATAACACCAATTTCCTCGCGTGAGCTTCCATTGGGATCATTCAAGCTATTGAGATGAAAGTTGGTCAGTTAGGAACTGAATGGAATTGAATCAGAATAAATGGACTTACTTAAAGCGGTAACCCTCCTTAGTGGGCACCTGGGAGTAATACTCAGACATGAGAGTGGGAAAAACGTAATCCAAGAAACCAGCAGAGCAGCTGGCTGCCATGACTGCCACCAGGGCAACAAAAAGTATCTACAAATATACACATAAATTAGATACATTCTTAATTTCAAATTGCTATATTTACCATTTTTGGAGTTGTCATGTTGATGCGAGCTGCACTTCTAAAACTAGACTGAATAGCAATCATTTTGCAACCAAACAGCAAAGATCTGCAAAGAATATTTAAGCAAGTCGTCGACAACTTTTAATAACCGATGCGTCGTATACGTAATCTTCTCACTTTCAAATTCGTTGCTTATACGCATATTAATTATCACTGGTTTGGCATCTCGTTGCATGTTTTTAGGTGGGTGGCACGATAAATTTTAAATGGCGAGAGGATATCTGTGCCCTTTTTATTTTACTATCTAACATTTTTTAATTTGAATTTTCCTATTTACGAAATTACTCTTTTTGGGAAAAATGTTACATAAATAAAATGTAAAGAATTAAAATAATTATTTTCCATAAATTGCATAAAATAAATGTGTAGGTAAACATTTGTTTATATTTTTGTCTACCTTTAGAAAAAAAACCCAGTTCAGAATAAACGAAATGTCAACCGGAAACTTTTGGAGTTGCCCTCGCAAATACCTTAGAGGATTAACGAATTTGCTTGGATTGTGCCCGGCACGTTGCAAATTGGAATCGCTTTATGTTTGATGCATGTTTTAGTTATATTCCTGATCTTATTTGGAATATTGATTGAATTTGAATAAATCATATAAAAATTGATAAACATATACTCTCGCTTTTTTCGGCTAATTCATGGCCATGAGAAATTTATTGTGTCCGCTTCTACTAACCAGTTTCATATGACATATACAAATTTAATTAATATGGTCTAGCATTTCGGCCACTTGCTATTTCTGTGCGAGACTTGTTCAGGTTGGCCTTGCCATTCTATCTCTATTGCCACTAGCAAAAAGAAGAATTTAAAAACGACAAATGTTGTCATGAAAAACTTTTACAGATATGAACTTGTAAAGGAATCGGGGAACTACGCCATGAATCATTAACATTAGAATTGAATTGATCCTATGACGAAAATTGGTGACTGTCGGAACGCAAAAGTAAAATAAAAAACAAGAGATATTCGGGAGTTCACGTCTAGGGGATACCCGAACCCTCTATTTCAGCTCGCACTACGAGCACGATAGGCCCTCGAACCCGTACCGGCCGCAATACTTTCCACCACGTTTAGCCATAGCACCAAATTATTCGCTGAGAAAAAAACGAAATAAACCAGGAACACATACACATGAAAATGTACATACACAAAAGCAAATGCAATGCTGCTGATAGAAATTATGGTATCGGCGATGCTACAGTAAAGGGTTATTTGCACTTTGATTCCTGGAAAAAACGTTGAATAATGTTTAATTATTCATATTTTTAATTTCTCAGTATGCGCTTGACATGTATATAGTATACGTGAATCAACAATACTTAGTTGGCACCTTTAATGTGCGACAAAAAAAATGATTAGAAATTGAATCTATTGAATTTAGGAAAAATGGGAAATAAGTTCTAATATGTTCTCTTGCTAATATAGTCACCGATATCAAAACATTCTTGACAAATAAATAGAAATATCAATCGAGATAAATATCACATTTTTAAGATCATATATTCAGCTATACATAGATAGATGCAATCTATCTATTTGTTAATATTTATATATCTAGAGTCAATATTAATTTTTAATTTTATTGTTTGCCCTTCAAAGTATGCAACACGTGTACAAGGCTCTGAAACAAAGGCGAATTTAATTGCATACTTTGGGGATCAATAAGTGTGGAATGTCCTAACATATTGATGCCTACTCTTAGGCCAATGAATATTACGACAAAAAATTGCTATGAAAATTCGCTTGATTACCCTTGAACCTGTGTACGCCCATGGAAATTAAATGAACCGTTCTGTTAATTATATTTAATAACCAAAACTTAAATGACTTTCTATTAAATTTAAGTGAAACTCTTAATTTTTTGCGTGCAAATTCCCTAAACAAAAGTAAACACTTTTTGATTAATTCAGTCAGTTTTATGGCACGCGTTGTGATCACTTTATCCAGTTTCAAATAAATCCGACAATATTTCAGCTATGGTAAATGCAATCTTGAGCCTAGCCAAGCAATGGCACCTGCTGGCTTTGGGGTTGGGCATTTGGCTTTACCTGGTCGGCGTCGGCGTTGTGCAGGCCGCCAGTGCTTCCAGTGAAGATCAGGATATGATATCCTTTCCAGCGCAGTGCAAATGCTCATTGAGCATGAGCTGCAACTGTTGCCAGGGCGCAGTTATTAAGTCCATGGATGTGAACAAGACGCGTATGTTTGGGCCACAAAACAACAATTAAGCCAACTAATTAAACAATTTTCTCCAAGTTTGCATGACATTTAAAATTAATATACTCAAGGCCTCGGTGGATGTGACTATTACGCTGGACAACAATGAAGTGTCCAAGTTTACTCTCGATTCGAAGACCACGCCTAGTATTTGTGTGCCCGTGCTATCACAAATAACGCCCATGGCGATATGCCTAAAGATGAGCAGCAAACTGTCGGGCCTGACGAGCCTCAATATGTGCCCAAGTTTTTATAGCAGCTTTTCAGAAAACCAACTGATGGCCTTTGATTTTCCCTGCCTCAAACTGGGCACGGATGGCATAAGTATTGCCTAGAGATCGTGCCAACTATCAGGATTTGCATAAATTCATTGAGTTTAACAATTCGTTTTTAGATTCTTTATTTTCGCAGACATATTGCTTGGTGTTGCAGCAGCAGTAAGAAAGCCTAAGATAGTTTTAGCGCAGGATTTGTTTAGTGACAGGCTCTATATACAAGTAGTGCAGTTCCTAACTTAAATCTACAGCAACTTTTTATGCTTCGTTTTTTATTTTCCGGTATATATATTTATAAAGTTAAATTGTGGTTCTGCTGTGAGCGGGTGCTGTTTCAAATATTGCGTTAAATTTGAAAGAATATAGTTATTTTAAATCGTAAAACAAAAAATATATATTTATATATTTATATCAAAAACAATAAAGTTGTAGGTGAAACCAGTAAAAGAAAACCCAAAAAGTAGCCCTCAATTATGTTGTAGAGCTTGGGCCAACAGAAGAAAATTAAAAAGAAAAAAACGCACACACTCAAATTACAATAAACTTACAACTGAAGATCACACAAAGGACTGCTAAACTTAATGGCTATGCGGCTTAGGATTAATTAAATTGCGCTCTTAACGCTAAGCTATAGTGTATATATGTATGATTATCCCTTATCGATTAACGTTTGTCGCTGATCGTTTATCGTTTATCGCTTGTGTAAACTATTCTAGGGATGGTGCATGCCACAAAACAAACATTCGTTAACCGACTTCACAATGCCCTTGCCAAGTGCTGCTCCAGTTAATTTTAAGTCCAGCTGCAGCTACAGCTCCAGCTTAATTGGTGCCCAATGTGGACGTCGACGTCGTCGGCGGCGGCGGCACATCGCTCACAATCGCCTTGCACATGACCATCCTGACTCCGGCTAGGAAGTCGGTTAGGTAACATCATGTGGGTCGTGGCGGTGCCGCCGCCTTGCGTGCGGTGCACATAAGTGCGACAGGCGGCGGTGGCGGTGGGGCGCTGCGCATTCGTGGCAACGGCTTCAGATCGCCCCGCGGCTGCAGCTGCTGCTTCTGCTGCTGCTTTGGCTGCGTCGTTATGACCTTTGGTATGGTGCCCAGACGCTTCGCCTTGGCCTGCATGACATGTTCCGCATCGGCGCCGCCTTCGGAGCTAACCGAATCATAGGATGAGGGCGTCGGTGAATGCCTGCGATTGCCCATCTCATCCAGTTCGGCATCGTCATCATCATCAACATCGCCATCATCATCCTCGTCCTCCTGCTCTTCGATCATCGTGCGAAACTCCTGTATAGAGTCGTTTAGCGCCCACAATTGTGACAGCAGTGAGAGATCCAATTGACGCAGTCCATACTAAAAGAGAAGCAAAAGAGGAAATTAGTCAAACGCCGCTTGCCACACAAATAAATAAAATTAATATGCAACATGTACAAGTTCTTGACGTGGCCACCAACGCGCCGCAGCGCACGCTGCAACTTTCAAAAAGCCAAGGCAAACCAATACATATAAAGCGTAAGCCAAGACTTGACTAACTGAACGGCTGACTGACTGACTGACTGCCTACCTGCCTGTTGTTGTAGCGCTTTGCATTGGCATTGATTGACAGCGCCACACAGGCAACTGAAACTGACGCCGACTGTCTATCGCGGGACACACCCACAAGTCCATAGAAAGGTTTGCCATTTGGCTTTTATAGATGCGATGTAGAATCTTGAGTCAATTTGGAACGCTACGACTTCCTTGTGAAGTTTGGCGCCAAACGCACAAAATAAATATTGTCAAAAGTAAAAGAATTACAAATGGTTAAGAATCAACCATACACAATACTCTTTTCTCAAGCTGATCGTAACTCTTATCTAGATAAGTTATGATTCACAGAACACGGATTCATAATAGCTGTGGTTAATATTTTATAAATAAATACGGTCTGACGAAAGCAATTCCATATAAAAATTATATGTCAGCATATGTTTAAAGTTATAATTTTCACTTTAAGTTACAGAATATGGAAAACTATTTACAAATTTCGCTTAGTTGGCATATTAATATTAGATTTTACACTTGTGATCGATAGTTATTGCAGGTTTATAATCTAATGTTTGATTATTATCAATAGGTAGTCGTTATGCTATCCGATGGATAGATATCGCAAATATAACAGAATATTATCAAAATTTGAATTGTTACCTACATCTCTTAGCTATAAGATTTTAGGTACTCCGCTCTATTGGCAGCTAATTAGTAATTCTAAATTATTTATGCAATTTTTCATCACATATTCAAAGTGTATTTCTAGGTATGATTCTATTCATATAACATCTTATATACCAATCTATACAATCTGCATTTATTATCATATATTACATATTCGCCGCATTTTATTTATTTTCTTTTATTATATATGCACTACTTGAAACTATATTTTTATTAAAAATTCAAAGAGTATCTCAGCGTACATAGATAGTATAGTGGCCAAACTCGCTATCGATATCTTTTGAATTTTCCATTCTATTTTTTTCGCATTTCGCTTTAAGATATATTTATGCCATGACAGCGTTCATCAATCTGCCGGCTGCTATCACGGCCTGACATTTAACAGTTCAGCGGCCCATCAAGAAGACATGCTGTGCTGTGGTGTGGTGTGGTGTGGTCCGGACTGGGTGGTTGGGTTGCGGTGCAGAAGAGGGCGTATCTTAACCTAGCGG